ACGAAACTTGGAAACCTAAAACCCTAGATCGATGCAAGAAGAAGAAGAAAGCATTACATGTTCTCTTCTTGACTCATAATTTCTCTATCGTTTTCTCTCTCGATCGATCTCTGTGTGTTGTTGAGTTCGTAGAATGTTTGATAAGAACAATTTTTGGGCAAAGAGTTGTGTTGTGAACTGTTTATTTATACTACTGGCTTCGTGAAGTCCAAGCTATCAGATTGTGAGTTTTTCATGTACTTTTGATCACGCCACGTCAGCAAATCATGCAGAGAATGTTACTCTATAGAAAAAGGAAATCAAGGAAAAAAGCAAAGGGAAAATTTGCCAAAAATACAATAAAAAAATTATTATTTGAAAACTAACAAAAAAATCATAAATTTAATGGCCTATAATTTTCCACATACCCCATTTTTCTTAATTTTTTAAATTTTTTTTTTTTGGTTTTCATTAAAAAAGCCCAAAAGAAAATTTCCAATATTTTTCTGAAAAACAAATTCCCCTAATTCTCATATTCCAATACAGTTTTAATTAAAAATAATAACTAAAGTGATTAACTGTAAATTCATGATAAAATTTATCTCCAACCTGTTTATGAAAAAAAATCTGAACTAAATTAACTCCATATTTGATTAAAATGTTCTAAAAAACAAAACAAAAACTCCATATTTGAGTTTTGTTGAAGACAAATTTTTTCTCATAAATTCCAGAATCAACAGTTACATTTTTTCTTCCATTTTTTTTTTAAACAAACCTGTATTGAGATACAATTTTTTGTCTCCATTGTGATAAAATTAATGAAAATATGAAATGTGTTCAGCAAAATTCAAATATGTACGGACTTATAGGTTCAGAAGTGACCTTACTGAAATTTGTCTACTGTATAAAATAAATATGCGTCAAATTCAAGTCTTTAAATCTGATCAAATGTGTTATATCTTATAACACCAGTTTTTATGATATATATATAACAAAATGATGCAAGCTTTATTTAATAATTATCTGGTAAATTCTATAAAAAACTGATGGCAATTCGGTAGATAACTAAGAAAAAGAATGTTTTTTTAACAACCTCCACTAAGGAGAGAAACAAAACTAAGACAATTCAATGGTCTTCTTCTCTCCCATTTTGACGCATCTTAAGACAACTAAACAAACAACAAAGATTTTAGACCAGACAAAGAAAGAGAAGGAAAAAACAATTTTTTCTCCTTCTTTTGTTTGGTTTGTAAAGAGAAGAAAAGTTATGAGAGATTCAATATTCTTTTTAAGGGTAATCATAATGATGATGATGATCGTATCATNNAGATGTGTTTTGGGATTAGAGAACATAAATCCGATATTTTTCGATGAAGGTCTTTCTCATTTATTTGGTGAAGGTAATCTAATCCGATCCCCTGATGACCGTAGCGTCCGATTACTCCTCGACAAATACACCGGTAAAATTTTTTTGTTTTTAAGAAGAATTATGATCATATATTATTGTGACGAAAATTGATTTCGGATAAACTCCTTTATATTATGTGAAAAGACTCGAATTGTAGGTTTATGGTGAAAATGTTATATGATACAAAAAAATTGTATTGATAAGGTTTTTGCATAATTACTTAATTATATGAATTACATGAATTTAAAAATGATGGCAAAATGGTGAAATGATGATTATGAAAGTTCGTGGTTACACCGGTTGTCAAATTTATGTAGTTTTTTTTTTTCTCTTTTCATCAGTTTCATACATTTTCCCCCTTTGAATCTACTATCTTGTAGTGTCACTATATCAAATGATTTTTTTTATTATATATCGAAACGAAATTATTTATAACATTGAATATGTTTAGGGTCCGGATTCATCTCTTCAAGCATGTATCAACATGGATTTTTCAGCTCGTTGATAAAGTTGCCGGGAGCTTACACGGCTGGTATATGTGTCGCCTTCTATGTAAGTAATTAATTTTTTTTTTTAATCAAACAATCTACATTAGAATTGATAGAATTAATGTGTAAAGTGTAAATGAGATTAATGCAGGCATCAAACGGTGATGTGTTTGTTAAGAATCACGACGAATTAGACATAGAGTTTTTAGGGAACGTTGAAGGAAAACCGTGGCGGTTTCAGACGAATATGTATGGAAACGGTAGCACAAACCGCGGCCGCGAAGAACGCTATCGACTTTGGTTTGATCCTTCCATGGAGTTTCACCGTTATAGCATCCTTTGGAACCCTACCAAAATAATGTTAGTTTCCTTTTTTTCTCTCTCTTTTTAAAGTTCAATTTTATATCAAGCTTTTGAGGATAAGGATATAATTATAGCATTTTTTCGAAAAACGACTAGTTAGGTGATCGAAAAAGGACTTTCTCTGATTAGGAGGGAAATTTGTTTGTGGTTTCTAGTTGAATTGATAATAATGTGCATGCGATATATATTTAATAATAAACCAACTCACCATGGTCTATTTTGATGATTCACTTTGTTTGTTGGAGACTAGAGTTCGAATTCTCCCACTATGATTTAATTATGGTTGGATATCTAGGCTCGAGAAATTAGTTTGGGTTTTGATTTGAAATTCCCTAGCTCGGTAAATATATATAAAATATAAAACTAAGAAGTAGTTGTTGTTTAGTATACGTCTAGTAAACGCAAAAAATTGACACGGCAAACACATATTTTACGATTTAGTCTTACTTACACACATGAGATTCAGTTTGGATTTCTTAGTGTGTATGCTTAGAAAATATATCATACCTATATTTGGTATGGGTATCGGTTTGAAATTAATTTGGTTTCGATACAAATATGTTTTTCCCATCAAAACATATTTGTGAATTTCTTTTCTTTTTCTGGCTCGGCTCGATTTTGATTTTTTAGATAGAGCAAAAGAAGAAGAAACAAATATGTAACCGATCTCATTTAGATTGGTCAAGATTGAATCGGTTTAGTTTATCAACTTGATAACCTCATCGATATACTTTGCTTTAACCAAGAAAACATGAATATAACATTTTAATATCGATGTGATTATATCTACAAAAAAAAAAAAATCTCTTAATAAAACTACAAAATGTTGGTTATTTTGTAATTTGCAGATTTTGGGTAGATGATGTACCAATAAGAGAAATCATAAGAAAAGAAGAAATGAAAGGAGACTATCCACAAAAACCAATGTCTCTATACGCAACTATTTGGGATGCTTCAAGTTGGGCTACTTCCGGTGGAAAATTCTCCGTGGATTACACATTTTCGCCTTTCGTATCCGAATTTAAAGACATTGCTCTCGACGGTTGTAATGTCACCGACTCAATTACGACCGTAACACGAGATG